AAAGAAAGCGAGAAATCACCCCCCAGGGGGGATGGCCACGCCGCAATCCCTTCTCCTCCATTCTCCTCATGGGATCTTGGGCATGCATGCACACGTGCCTGGCATAAGTTTAAGCCACCAAGTCCAGGCCCCGAACCGCAGTCAGTTACATGGGAGTCCAGCAACATAGTCATTATGCTAACTGCTGGTCCCAATAAAAATAATTCTCAAAAAAAAAAGTCTCAACCTTGGGGCCGGCAGGGGATGTGGTGATTAAGATGTTGGACTCCCACAGGACTGACCAACTGTTCAAGTCCCGGTGACTTGTTTTCTCCCTTTCCCCTTCTCTCTCTCTGTATCTCTCTAGTCAAATTAAAAAAAAATAATAATAACAAGGCGAGCCGGCAGATGATGTGGTGGTTAAGGGCGCTGGACTCCCACATAGCTGACTATGGTTCGAGTCCTGGACTTGGAGGCTTGCTTTCTCACTTTCCCTCACTCTCTGTCTCTCTCTGGAAATATTAAACATTAATAATACACAAAGTTAAATAAAATAATTACATAAAAAAACAAGGGGGCCAGCAGGTGGTATGGTGGTTGGGGCACTTGCCCACAGTTTGAGTTCCAGATCCAGAGACTTGCTTTCTCTCTCTCTCTCTCTCTCTCTGGTGTGTCCTTTAGCAAATTAAAAGTTAATAATAAATAAAATTAAATACATAATTAGTTTAAAATAATAACAGTAAATAAAATAAATAACTCTTAAAAAATAAGTCCCAACCTCTGAGAAAGAAGGGCCTCTATGCAGAGAGCTTGTGTATGGGGAGGGAGTCTGTCCTTAAACTCACACATGTGCAGAGGGTTTCATACTCGGCTGAACCTCCCTTGCACGCCCCCACCCCATAAATACTGACAATATCTATGATGTGCTTGATTCCCGGCCAGATTGTGGACCCCTCCAAGCAGGCAATTATGATGCGTACATCACTGTATCACTGCATCTGGCACATTCTGGTATAGACAAGGTGCCAGTAACTGTTGGAATGACCCAGGAATTCAGACCCATTTTATTTTCTAAACCTCATCACTCCCCTGAAGGATAAGTAAAAATAACCATCCCTGTTTAACAGAAAAGTCAACTGCAGCTGAGAGAGCAGATTTGTTGAGTAGTGTTGGGACAGAAAAGGGTTCATCACTGTCCCAGCTTCTGTCTGAAGGCACTTCAAAAAGTTGGAGTAAAGGTGGAATGAAAATACAATTCTAGGGCCAGCAGATGGTGTGGAGGTTAAAGTGCCTAGATCCCACATGGCTGACTAGATCATTTGAGTCCTGGACCCGGTGGCTTGAAAAACACACCAGGAGCATGTGCATGTGTGCCCAGAATCCAGAAAGGAGAATGGAGAAGAGATTGCTGTGTGGTCACTCTCCTGGGGAGGGAGGTTCTTTCTAATGTTTCCCCTTCTCTCTCTGTCTCTGTCTCTGGCGAGCACATGCACCCTAAGCAAAAAGTTAGAAAAAAAAAGTACAAGTTTATTTTAGTGCTAAAAAGTTTAAAAATACATCTACAGTTATATATATATATATAATGTATATATATACTTTCTTTTTAAAAAAGGGTTAGCATTTTTTAAAGAATTATTTTATTTAACTTTATTTATTTTTATTTATTTATTTTAATTTGACCAGAGAGGGACAGAGAGAGAGAGAGAGAGAGGGAAAGTGAAAAAGCAAGCCGCCAGGTAGGGGCCTTGAACCATGGTCAGCCACGTGGGAGTTCAGCGCCCTTAACCACCAAGCCACCTGCTCGTCCCTAATATGCACTTTCCATGGATTTTTTCCAACATCGCTCATATATTAGCTCAGATGAGAACCTCTACTGCCAGGTCTGAAAACTGACAGCCTCCACCTCTTCGGGTTAGGAGTTAGGTGAGGGTGGTTAGAGACAGCTGCCAACCCTTTGACTTCCTACCCTGCTGCTTCTCCCCAACTCTGAGCATTGTCCAGCAGGGACCCAAGCTCCTTCTTCCACCTCTGGCAACCAATTAACTTCTTATTTTGGCAGCTCATAGATCTAGTAGCTCTTTGGGTTATAGGCTGGGTAGTTTCTGCAGGGTGTTCTTTACTGGAAACCAAATGCCTTTCAGGTGCTTCCTGCTCAGGATCAATAAGGTTTTTATTCCTCCCCTTAAGCTGCCCGTCAGAGCTGAGATGGTACTAGGATGGAGAGAAAGGGAAAAGGATATCCTTGCAGGGTTGAGTGGCTCTGGGCTCCACTCCCCTAACCCCCTCCCTGCCAAATATCCCAAAGGCCAACAGGGGTCAGAATTCACACATCCAGGGAGAGGTGGGAGGCAGTGACAACAGCAAGAGTTCTGGGGAGGGGGGAATTCTCCAGTGGGCTGGTACCAGTTGTTGTTCTTGGGGGGGTGGAGTGCCTCATAGCTCCCCTTGCCTTTCTGGTCCTCCCCTTGGGAGAAGGATTAGGATTAGGGACAGACATTAAAATCTAGGAAGGGTCTACTGTTTGTCTAAGTTTGGATTAAGGCTAAGGTTCTATGATTTAGACCTAGGGACAAGAAGATTAGAATTAGATTAGGTTCAGGGCTGTGGGAAGGATTTGAACTCCCACTCTGGTGAATGTGCACATAGAGGCACATTGTAAGTGTTGTCTTCCTTCTGTCTCTCCTTACAGGAATGGCTAGCTTAATGGCAATGTGGTTATGGACCACATTGGGGTTTCCTTTTGGTTATGTTGGTTTAAGCCAAACCTGTGTGTGGATCCTCACCCTTCTGCTCCTGTCCTCTCTCCCACCGCCATCTTTGAGCTTTTGGGTCCGGGGCTAGAGCCCATTACCTGCTACTCGGAGTCTCCGGAGCCCAATGTTGGGAGCTGGGGTCCTTTCTCATGGCAGGCAGAGGGTTGAGGGAGCTTCAGCACTGCCCAATGCTAGGGCTGCAGAAGGCAGGCTTCAGGGACCAAGAGCTTCACACTGGGGGGCAGCAGCACCCTTTCTTCTTAGGTTTCTTTTCCCACTCCTCAGACATGGTGATCACTTGGTTGTAGTTTTTCTCATAACAACTCTTCTGGGCGAAGCAGGCTCAGAGTTTGCTTTTTTGTTTACTCTCTATTCATCAAGTGAGTGCACTTGCTCATATCACACAGACATTTAGTGTTAGAAAAGGAAGAAGAACACTGCAGGGGCTTTTGCCTCCTGACCAGCTTCTTCTCTCAGGAGACCTGGATCCCCAGTGGCCCCAGGGATCATCCAAAAGTCAGAATTTCAAGGCTGTCTGGCCTGGCCAGGAAATAAGTCCCCCAACAAAGTACCCTATTTGTTTTTGTTTTTAATTTGCTGAAAGATTCATGCACTCCTGTGGGTCATGTGGGTCTAAAAATTAAACACTAGGTGGCATGGTGCTTAAGGCACTGGACTTCCACATGGTTGACCATGGTTTGAATCCTGGACCTGGAGACTTAACTTTCATGCTTTCTTTCTCTCCCCCACCCCCTCACACACATGCCTTGTAACAAAGAATTTTTTTTTAAATGATAAATAAATAAAATTAAATAAATAATTCTTTTGTAAGAGAGATTTTTTTCTACAGGGCACATATGCTCACCAGAGAGACAGAAAGCAAAAAATTGCTCCCCAGAGGATGGCCACACTGCAATTCCTTCTCCTTCATTCTCCTCTTGGGATTTGAGCAGACATGCACACATACCTGGCACAAGTTCTAAGCCGGGACTTGAACTTTGGCTGACTACATAGGAGTCCAGTGACTTAACCATTATGCCATCTACTGGTCCCAATAAATCTTTTTTTAAATTATTTTATTTAACTTTATTTATTAATTCATCTATTTCAATTTGACCAGAGAGGGACAGAGAGAGAGAGAGAGAGAGAGAAAGTCGCCAGGTCTGGGACTCGAACTGTGGTTACCCATGTGGGAGTCCAGCATCCTTAACCAGCATGTCACCCGCCTGCCCCAGTCCCAATAATTCTTTAAATAAAAAAAGAAAAAGAGGGACCAGCAGATGGCCTGATGGATGAGGGTGCTGGCACTTCCACATGGATGACTGTGATTTGAGTCTCAGACCTGGTGGCTTGCTTTCTCACTTTCTCTCTTTCTCTCCCTTTCTCTTGCTCTATCCCTCTCATGTCAAATAAATAAATAAATAAATAAATAGAGTTAAACAAAATAATTCTAAAAAAAAAAAAAAAAAGAAAGAAAGAAGGAAGAAGGAAATCATTCCATTGCATGGTTGGGCACGTGTGACCCAGCTCCCTTAAACACTAGGCCATAGGGCTGGTCCTATACCCTAATTGTGTAAGAGAGGTAAATGCCCAAGCCAGGAAGGGTATGTTGCAAACAATGTGGTGTTCTGAATTCAAGGAGAGGCCATCAAGTCATTGATAAAAATAGAGATTTTATTCTGCAGAGGAAGATACTACATAGGTGGGGGCGAGGAGCCACTAATAGCTACAGTGGAAGGAAATACCGATTCTGGTAGGCAAAGGCATCTCTGAAAAATGGGAAGAGGAGAAGAGGAATCACAGAAGACTGGAAAGCAAAAGGAGAGAATGAAGAGGAATTGGGTTGGGGGTGGTCTCTGCAAACCAGGCTGGAACCCAGCACAATAAATAGTTTTATTTACAACAACCAAACTCGTGGCTTTGGATCCACGATCAGTGCAAATTATTTACACACTGATGAAGAGGCAGGACAGGAAGGGGTAGGAGGTGGCCCAGGCTCACAGCTGTTCAATGGCTCCAAGGCAGAGGCTAGAAGAATGGCAGCATTTCTGCTGAGTCCCCCAACTTCATTTTCCACATCACCACAGCTGCCCTTTCACCCTGGAACCTCCTACTTCAGCTGCGGGTGGGGAGGAGAAAGGTCCCTATGCACAGGTGTGTGTTCGGGTCTGCACCCTTGACAGGGGGATACAAGGGACCTGTGGGGACTTGGAGAAAATTGCGGACAAAGGGGAAAGAGAAAGGTAGAGAGGTGGCTGGTGTGGTGGAATAGACAGAGCAGCACCATCAGGAGCTGACCCCAGGTGGGGGACAGAACGAATATTTCTCTCACCTCCTGGCTAAGCAGGGGGCAGTGCAACAGGGGTCTCCCGCGGAGAGGGAGGGAGGTAGGTCGGGGCAGGTCCATCAGGATGGCAAGAATATTCGTGCCGCCCCAGGCAAGTGGTTAGAGGAGTCCCCAGGTAGGAGGAGGTGGGAGAGATGGGATAGCTTGAGCCGCGGGGTGTGGCTGGAGGTACTGGGTGGGCGCATATCAGGGTCTTGAGAGCCAGCGAGTCTGTTTTGGGGAGAGCATGAGGGGAGCGTTTCTGGGGGCGAGTCCGCACAGCGCCTCACAGACACTCGTGCAATACGCGCGTGTGCGTGCAGTTGCGGCAGCTGACATGGCAGCACCAGTGGAAGGTGCAGTTGCAGCGCTCGGTGACGCGCTGCGTGCGCGTGCGGTGGCCCCGGCCACAGCAGAGCAGCTCGCAGCCGTCCAGCGCGGGCGACGAGCTGTTGCAGGCGCGCCCTGCAGTGCCCGCCGTCCCCAGGCGTCCGCTGTATGTGCAGAAATTGGGCGATTTCTCGAAGTAGACGAGGTCGTGGGGGGAAGGCGGCTTGTGCGCTGGGTCTTCCGGCTCAAGGCGCAGCAGCTCGGCCCGCGAAGCGCGGTTGCTGCCGCGGTTGCCGTAGAGGACTCGAGAGGCGCCGTCAAAGCGGTCGCGCAGCACGTCGCCCACCGCGCGCAGCGTGGGCAGCCGCATCCAGCACGTGCGCACGGTGCAGGAGCCGGACATCCCGTGGCACTTGCACTCCTGGCGCATCTCGGAGAACACGGTCTAGGGGAGGAGGGGAGGAGGGGAGGAGGGAAGAACAATGTTCTGGAGCACTGTGGGAGCCCGAGGCACCATCCCAGATACCGCCCCCTCCTGGACGCCGCCGGGACCTCCGCAAAGGCCCAGGCTTAGCCTAGCCCAAGGGGAGAGGCGCGCGACGTGTGCAGCTGAGATCTGGATACCGGACACAACTCTACGTCACGCCCGCGAGACAGTCTGGCCCCTCGGCCTTATTTTTCAAGTTTGTACACTGGAGGGACTGGAGGCAAAACATTCTGTGGGCCGCATGGCTTCTAACCCTTCCCGTTCTAACTGTCCTCAGCCAGGCATCGCTCTACCCTCAGCCACTCTTATCTGGCTTCCTTCCAAGCCTCGCGCTCCCAGTGGACTCCCACTCGCGATGCCCCTTGCCCTATCACCGACTTTTCTCACGCCTGAGGTTAGCCCCTGCCACTCCTTATCGGGTGCGGGGACCTCTTACACCCGCTCACCGTGCGGCCCGCCTCGTTGTTGTGGAGGTTCATGAGAAAGCGCAGGTCCCGCCCTTTCTCCCCGGAGTCCACGAACTCTCGCCCGAAGAGGCGGCCGAAGTCGATGTTGTCGCTGCACCCTCCCCAGTGCCAATCAGGACCCCCAGGACCGCGCCGCCGGTAGTCGCACGTGCAGGACTCGATGGAGCCCTCAGAGCAGGAGCGCGCCACGGAATGGGTGACCCCGGCGGAGGTGATGGCAAAGATAAACGCTGTTTCCCGGCAGCCTGTGAGTGAAGGGAGGGAGGATCAGCGAGGGGGCGCTCAAGGCGTGGCCAGCACCCTCAGGGAGAGGCTTGGGACCCTAGAGTCCCACGTTCCCTCGGACCTGGTCCTGAGGGTCCTGAGAGCCGAGCTGCCGACAGTGTTAGAAAGCTGGTCTCCAGGTCTCTAGAGGAAACAGGTGAGTGGGCATACGCTCAGCTCCACCCTTGCAGTTTCACCTTACTGAGACTCTTCAGGGCCGCATTTGGGTTCTAGAGAGAAGGTGGGCAGTCCCAGAAAGAAAAAGCCAAAGGAGAGAAGCAGAGACCTCTCCGCAGCCCAGACTTTTTGGCCCAGGTTGGCGATAAGTGAGAGGCAAGACGCTGGCAGAGAGGAGCTTCACAGCTCCTCGGAGAGAGGCTGGGGAATGCGGTGGTCACCTGGTGTGCATGACCCAGAACTCCCTTTCTCCGAGTCAATAGCTCAGAAAAGTTTAGCTTCGTGCCTAGGCTGCATGGCGGGAAAGGGCCTGACAGAAAAAGCCTGGGCATGAGGCACCTGGCGGGGTAGATGGTGTGACCCTGCAGGAGCCTGAGCCATCTTCCCTGCACTTGCTGGCCCATGCCCTGGGGGTGACCCTGCTCTTTTCCTAGTCCCGGAAGCATCGCCTTCCTGGGCACCCACCTCGGTTGACGATCTTGCCGAAGAGGTGGGGCCCCGGAGCAGTGGGGCAGTTCCAGCGGCGGTTCCGGAACTGCCACTTGCACTCGCGCACCGCGCTCTGCAGACCACCGCTCACACTGTGCAGGATCCCCGGGTTCTGGCGGATCAGCCGCCGCTGTTTGCGGCTCAGTAGTTGCAGACTGGGCTCGAGCACTAGCTGCAGACTCTTGGAGTCGGTCAGCAGGTTCGTGGAGGACGCTACGTTCACGATGCCCCTGGTGGGACGCATGATAGAAGCTCAGGCTCGGGAAGGGGTCTCTCACTCTAACCGTAAAGGCTGTGCCCGCCCTGTCCTCTGTCTGGGTCTATGTGTTGGGAGAGAACGGCGGGAGACCAATAATAAGGTAATGACTCCATGATTTGGGGCTCACGAGTTTGAAAAAACAGGGCTTCCTGACCTCTGTGCGTCCAGGAGTCCGAGGACTGCCTAGAGCCCTGGTTCTGGGCACTGGACCGAGGGAGCATGGGGAACACAAGGCTGACCGTCTACCTTGGCTCTCAGAACCTCCTTTGGGTCAGCCTAAGTGAGGAAATCCTGGCTTGCAGTTCCTACCCACCCAGGATGTGAACTGTTTAGGAGTCCCACCCTCTGCTCGCCTCTTTTCAGAGCGAGCCACTGACGCTTCGCTTCCTGAGGTAGGGAAACCTGCGCTGCGCCCACCACGATGAGGACGGGATTAGGGTTAAAAAAAGAGCCGTGCCAGATCGGAGCGGGCTCTCTGCCTGGGTATCCTGGGCCTCTGTGAGCGGATCAATCGCCCCCACTTGGTTAGAGCAAAAATCTCTGGGGTAGCTCTGGTCCAGAGCGCCCCTCGGTGTTGCAGAGGGAAGTCAGAGCGCGAGAGGGGAGCCTGTCGGCGGACTGACCTCGGAGCGTGGGAGCTGGTTAGGGTTGGTCCCTGGCTCTGCGCCCCAGGACAAGTGGCGACCCCGCACCAGCTCACTTACCACCATCGGCCACTGCTGTTGGCGGCCAAGGCTGCGGGTAGAGCGGCCAGCGCTAGCAGTAGCGCAGCAGAAACCCAGCCGGGCAGCAGCGCCCAGAGCCCCATGGCCTGCTGGCCTTGCCCACTCTGCTGTAGTTGCGGCGG